TATATATATATTATATGTAAAAAGAAGGTTTGATGTTAAACATGTAAATGCATAAAATTTAAGTTGTAGGCATGTAGTTCTCTCTGAAACTTAATAAATTATTTAAATTTTAAATTTAATATAAATTTGAGAAAAATTTGAACTGAATTTCGAATCATTCTCAAATCACAATTAAATCATGTAAGTTATTTTTGAATCTTTTTTAAACTATACTTAAATCTTATTTGAATCATATTGGAACTTTTTTGACATGATTTGAACATGATTCGACCAAGAATTAAATATGATTTCAATACTTTAAAATAAGATTTAGGTTTGGTCGAATATGATTTGAATAGGTTATAGCAAGGTTTTAATAATAATTAAGCATGGATCAAGAGAAGTCCATGCATGGTTTGAACCATATTGAAGCATGGTTCAATTTAAACATAAGCCCAATATGTTATAATCCAATAGCTAGATCACATCACAATGAAAATTAGTGTATTATTATGTAATATGTATAAAATCATTTTGGTGATTATTATACTTAAATCAAATCACTTATAAGATGAGTACAATCACAAGATATGTGTATTTTAATTTATAATTATGAGTTAAGACCAACAAGCTAAAAGTTGAAGGAGTTATCAAAATTATTTTACAATTTTACCTAATCAAATGTTTCATTTTTTGCATTAATATTTAGTGGAACATTTTAACATTGATCGATAAAAGTTTTAATAATGGCATGTGTCATTGCTTCTAATGTTCAATATAATAATGTAATTAGCCTCAAATTTTCTTATCGATTTTTTTTCATCACACTCTCAGATATCTACATGCATAGAAAGATAAATTAAATGAGCAAAACTTAAAAGTGAAAGTGAGTGCAAAATATTGAATTTTAATTATAGCGCTATAATGTTTGAATAATAATAGCGCCAAGAATTAATTTTGCTTAAAACTTGATGAAATATTGGCCAACTTTGACCTAACTCATTTGGTTATTTTTCGAATCAAACACAAATATATTTCAATCATTACTCAAATATGATCAATTTTTTTTTTCATTTTTATTTAAATCCTCATCAAACCTTTTTATCATTATTTAAAATCCATTAAAATAAGCTTTAAATGTTTAATCATGACATGATGGCTGATTATTAGCCCATTTATTTTAGTTATAAGCTTAGGATTGACAATTACAAGGGATTTATAGTGCGTATTTAAGCAAGCCATTAGATTAGATTTTTTCTTCATAATTGATAGAGCCTAAAATGTTTTTATGCACATAATACCTAGGAAAGAGCTGTGTGAGGATGAAAGACTTAGAAATAGAGAAAGATAGAGAAAACTCCTAGGATGTATTGCTATGAAAGGAGTGGTCCCTAGAGATTGTTGAATCTTGAAATGCTCTTGAGCTCATATCACCAAAGAAAAAACTATGCAAAGAGAGGAACTATAATAGAAAAAGATAAATACAAACTCTTGTGATTTTATTTATATGAATTGTGTAATTATAAAGAAGGAATTTTTTTACTCAAGAATTCTAGATCCTTCAAAAATGAAAAAAATGGTCCAAATTTGCTTGGACAAGAATGACTCGCCTTAACAAAATATTCTCAGCATATGAGTGTACTAAGGAAGATGATTATCAAAGTAGGTGTGATCTTCTATGATAGGAAAGACATTTGTCGGTCGCCAAATTGGGTGTTGTCGGTCGTCGGAATGGATATCCCGATGCCCGTTTTAATTTAATTTATATATATAATTTAAAAAAAGTAGTATTTTAAATTTTGAAATTACAAGACCGGACCAATCTCATATCCTCATTAGTTTAAATAAACGAGCATAATACCGTAAGCAATGTATTTATCCTGAAGGATAGACACACCACATACTAGTAAGACTCGATTAAATAAACTAAAGAATTTATGACATCCGCTTAAGTCTGCGAAAAAATTTTTTTTATGTTAACCGACAAGTTCCCCTATTTAATACAAAAAATTAAATAAGGTTTATATTAAGTTGAGTTCTTAAAATTTTCTTATAAGGGCAAACCCCTATAGTTAATTACATCTTAGATAACCGAAGTCACCTAAGAAAACTCTCAATAAAAATCATGAGATATTGTCTTCAGAGAGTTCAAAGGGAAATGACTTTTCAAAAGATCGAACAAAGAGGTGTGAAATGGGAATGACTCAAATTCGGAACATTTATTTTTGAATCCAAAAGAAAAAGAACTTGGGGATGTCACGGATCCTGAGGAGAACCTCGGTAACTTCCCAAACCATCCTATCATTTAGCTTCAATTTCAAGAAGAATTAAGTGTTTCATCTTACCAATTTTATTAATTAGGGCTTACATTCATGCGAGACGATCAGACAAATCGCCTGAAAGATATGAAGATTTAAGTCGTGACGAACGACAACCTTGGAATCCTAGGGCGAGTTTGGGCTTAAATTGTATAGCAGAGTCATACAATGGCCTGAAGAGAAGTTGAGGATTTATGTCGCACTAGGCAGACGACCTCGAGATCCTATGATTTGTTGTTTAATTTTTAAGGAAAAACGTGTTGTTGCAGATCCTCATGTTGTTACAGATTGCAGTTGTAGAAGGTTGCTCATAATGCTAACTCTAGGCTCCTTAGAGAAGTAGTAGTCCTAAATTCTAAGGCTTAAAGGTTTAAATGACAAGTTTAAATTCAATTATTATTAGGAGAGTTAAAGTTGATTAGAGTGACACCGGTTAGGATCCCACAGTTCCCTCGTTTCGACACCACTATTTTCTTCGGATTCACTTAGTCCAAATGAATTTACTAAACTCAACTCAATGAGTTCCATACTTTCATTTATATCATGGGAAATCTTGTTAGCAACCGTATATTACGTCCTCCGAGGGATTTCCGATCATCTGATAGAAAAGTTTTAATTTAGTTACAATTTTTGTTTTTGTTGTTTTGTTTGTGATTAAATTTTGAATTGTATTATATTTTGACAGTTGTGGTGGTGGATTTTGTCTTGTTTTGATTTCTTAATTTTGATTTTGGTTTCAGTTTCGTGGCTATTCTAAAAGTTTCAGTTTTGACATGCAGGGTGACCTTGTTATTTAACATGCAAATAAATAGGTTGGAAATGAAAGGAACAGAAAGGTAAATAAAAGTAAATTACAATGCAATAACTTAAATGTGTACATGTCAATTCTCCTGTTCCTCCACCTGAAAGGTCAATACTTGCAATCCATATATAATTTTGCAAGAATTAAATCATGCTTGTAGGAAAAGTAGAGATTATAGGCTTGAAGTGTGTCTATCAAACCCTATGTCATACCTTAGTGGGTCCAATTTGTTCATCCGTGGTGATGATTCCATCGAGCAAATCATAATATGTCCAAGTGTCCTTCGAGACTCCCAAAGGATCATGAAAAGGTCCTAGGTAATTCCCTAAACATTTCACAACAGTCCCTTGAATCACTTGAATCATCTCGAGTTCATTTTGGTCCTATTATGTTGCTATGTGGTTCTCCTAATTCATACCCTTAAGCTCAATGAACATTAGTCTTTTGATTATCCTTTTAAGTGGGGAAATTATCATTTGATGTTTCACTTATGAATTATATGGGTAAAGACCCTTAGAGGCAATTTGGCTTAATTAAGAAACTTAGTCAGTTTGATTTTTAAATATGGGCTTTGTAGTGTTTTAAAAAAGGTTTCAAATTATTTATAGGTCATTTTCTAAATCTCATTAGAAAAAATTTTGATTAAGTCTAATTCACCACTAAGCTCTTAAAACTTAATGAGTAGATTTGTATTTTTTAGAAAAATTTAAATATTTATATTTTAATCCTTATCAGGAATCATAAATCATTTTAAAACCATTAATTGATGCTCTTCCAAAGTCAAATCCCCAACCTCAATATCCTCTTATTTAATAAATCATCTTAAAACCATTAATTGGGGTGGGTTATGCACTTCCAAAGTCAAACCTCCAACCTCAATAGCCTCTTATTTAACTACTCTTCCGAATTTCATCAATTTAAAAAATTACAGATTTATCTTTAATGAGACCAAAATAAGATTGGTTACTACCATTTATCCCTTTTATATTTCAATCATCTAGACATGTCAATTCTGGTCATTTATTATCCATTTATCCTTTGGTTGGGCCTAAATATTAATTAAGGCTTAAATCCTAAAATTATCAATTTGCCCTTAGGGCCTTAACACCTTATAAATCATTAAATTAAACTCAAATGACTTTATAATTTTTATGCTACCCCACTAATTGGTTAATTAAAACATCAAAGGAAAAAAAATGTTATTTTTCTGAATTTATTTAATTTTCTAATTATTTTAATGCAAAAATAGAGATTATTAATGAAAATTCAATAGCTCAACCAAAACAAAACCTCTA